TTTTACCCCTTGGGTTGTAGAAGCATTCAGTGTGGTTTAATCAGAGCTGGGCTGTGCACTAAGACCAGATGCACAGGCTACGGATCTATCACTGTGGCCTGAGGGAACAATGCAAGGGAGGACCTTGATCTCAGCGCCCCGAGGGTAAGTCTCCTGGTTGGGCTCTGTTAAGCATGGGGTATAGACTTGGACTGCTGGCCAGGCAGCTACAAGACAGGAATCTGAAGATTAACCCGATAATGGGGTAAGAGAACAGTTGTTACAGGGCGAACAGGTACCTGTAAAATATCTTTACTGACAGCATTTTAAGATGCTGCTCCTTGATGAATATTGGTACCTAATTTTCCTGTGAAATGTAGAATTACCATCCCCAGTTGGAAAACATGCTTGCTGGCCTTCAGCTGTTTGAATTGAATCCCCCTTCTTTTTTTAAATTTTTTTATTTTTTTTTTTATTTTTTTATTTTTATTGCATTTTAGGTTTTGGGGTACATGTGAAGAACATGCAAGATTGTTGCATAGGTACACACATGGCAGTGTGGTTTGCTGCCTTCCGTCCCCTCACCCGTATCTGTCATTTCTCCCCATGCTATCTCTTCCCACCTCCCCACCCCTCCGTCCCTCCCCCATTTGCCCCCAACGGACCCCAGTGTGTAGTGCTCCCCTCCATGTGTCCGTGTGTTCTCATTGTTCAACACCCACCTATGAGTGAGAATATACAGTGTTTGATTTTCTGCTCGTGTCAGTTTGCTGAGAATGATGGTTTCCAGGTTCATCCATGTCCCTACAAAGGACATGAACTCATTGTTTTTGATGGCTGCATAATATTCCATGGTGTATGTGTACCACATTTTCCCTATCCAGTCTATCATCGTTGGGCATTTGGGTTGGTTCCAGGTCTTTGCTATTGTAAACAGTGCTGCAATGAACATTCGTGTGCATGTGTCCTTGTAGTAGAATGATTTATAATCCTTTGGATATATACCCAGTAATGGGATTGCTGGGTCAAATGGGATTTCTATTTTTAGGTCCTTGAGGAATCGCCACACTGTCTTCCACAATGGTTGAATTAATTTACACTCCCACCAACAGTGTAAAAGTGTTCCTATTTCTCCACATCCTCTCCAGCATCTGTTGTCTCCAGATTTTTTAATGATCGCCATTCTAACTGGTGTGAGATGATACCTCAATGTGGTTTTGATTTGCATTTCTCTAATGACCAGTGATGATGAGCATTTTTTCATATGTTTGTTGGCCTCCTGTATGTCTTCTTTTGTAAAGTGTCTGTTCATATCCTTTGCCCATTTTTGAATGGGCTTGTTTGTTTTTTTCTTGTAGATCTGTTTTAGTTCTTTGTAAATTCTGGATATCAGCCCCTTGTCAGATGGGTAGACTGCAAACATTTTTTCCCATTCTGTTGGTTGCCGATTCACTCTACTGACTGTTTCTTTTGCCGTGCAGAAGCTGTGGAGTTTGATTAGGTCCCATCTGTCTATTTTGGCTTTTGTTGCCATTGCTTTTGGCGTTTTGGTCATGAAGTCCTTGCCTACGCCTATGTCCTGAATGGTTTTGCCTAGATTTTCTTCTAGGGTTTTTATGGTGTTAGGTCTGATGTTTCAGTCTTTAATCCATCTGGAGTTAATTTTGGTGTAAGGTGTCAGGAAGGGGTCCTGTTTCTGCTTTCTGCATATGGCTAGCCAGTTTCCCCAACACCATTTATTAAACAGGGAGTCCTTTCCCCATTGCTTTTGTCAGGTTTGTCGAAGATCGGATGGTTGTGGGTATGTTGTATTTCCTCTGAGGCCTCTGTTCTTTTCCATTGGTCTATATCTGTTTTGGTACCAGTACCATGCTGTTTTGATTACTGTAGCCTTGTAGTATAGTTTGAAGTCCGGTAGTGTGATGCCTCCTGCTTTGTTCTTTTTGCTTAGAATTGACTTGGCTATGCGGGCTCTCTTTTGGTTCCATATGAAGTTTAAGGTGTTCTTTTCCAGTTCTGTGAAGAAGGTCATTGGTAGCTTGATGGGAATAGCGTTGAATTTGTAAATTACTTTGGGCAGTATGGCCATTTTCACGATGTTGATTCTTCCTAACCATGAACATGGAATGTTTCTCCATCTGTTTGTGTCCTCTCTTATTTGAATCCCCCTTCTGATGAAGATTTCATTTTCTAGGAATCAACCACTTGGCTGCCTAGGTGCATTTTATACCCTCATCACTCATCTGTCCAGTTCATGACCCTGTGCGGGATCAGCCCCGACAATGTGCTCACCAAGACAGGTGAGTGTGGATCACTTCTAATGCCAGGCATCCATGTGTAGCCCTCACTGGAATTGTTTATCAAGGGACTGAGGGAATAGGCAATTATTTCAACTAGTTCCATTAAGAATTATTTAACAGAATACGGTTTACATGTTGGATCCAGTCTTGATAACCTATCTTTAAGCTTAAAATGTGTGGGTTACATTTGACTGACTTTTGGTAGAGTTGCTGAACATCGTGGGCAGAACTGGAAGTCAGGACCTGGGATGGACACAGTGAAGACTGGAGACGGGATGAACCAGGGACAGATGAAAACCTAGCACAACTTCTAGGCGTCTGTAGCTTTGTCCACAGAGGTCAGTCTGCGGGTGAGGTGCTGCCTATGTGTGTATCAAACAATAGCTGATGAGCTTGGAAAAAAAATGCCAGGAGCAGTGGCTCACACCTGCAGGGTGGGGTTGGGGGGGGTCACTTGAGGTCAGGTGTTCCAAGATGAGCCTGGCCAACATAGGAAAACCCCATCTCTACCAAAAACACAAAAATCTGACGGGTGGGGTGGCCTGTGCCTGTAATCCCAGCTACTCGGAAGGCTGAGAAACCAGAATCGCTTGAACCCAGGAGGCGGAGGTTGCAGTCAGCCAAGATGACACCACTGAACTCCAGCCTCAGTGATACAGCGAGACCCTGCCTAGGGGGGAAAAAAATGAAAAACCTCAATGTTTTAAGAAAGTTTACGAATTTGTATTAGACTGCATGCTGCTGGCTGTCCACAGACCAGAAAAGCCTGACATACGTTAAATGGGTTAATACCTCAAAGATTTCTGTTCAGGAAATCTGTGTTCATGGGAGTCACTGAAGAGGCATTTAGAGAAGTACATTTCAAATCATGGTATAAAAAGTTCTGTGCATTGGAAATACACCAGACAGTACTCAAAAACTGCCTTCCATCAGTGTCACTTTCTTTCCAATGCATTTGGGGCTCTGGTACACTGAGCTCACTGGAGGCCTCAAAGATCCACTTCCCAGTGTTCCCCTGCAGATGGGCTGGGGACTGTGGCTGGAATGAGCCATGTCAGCAGGTACTTCTGGGCCCAAGTCGTTTTTGGGGTCTCATGAACAGGCCTACATGCAACGATGGGCTCCATTTGCCTGTGCCTAGGCAAGGCCATTGAAGCATCTAGAGAATGACCTAACCCAAATAACAAAGTAACTGCCTCAGGAGCTTGACGGCTGCCCACTTTGCCTAGGGTCCTGCTGAGTCCCGAGGGTGGAACATGAGGGCATCCAGGGAAACAAGCTCTTAAGTGGATGGTACCATGTTTTGGGTGGAGAGTGGAGATAGTAAAATAGATCAGCACTATTATTAAGATGATGTGGACGAGACTAAAAGCAACACATAGGACGAGGCTGAGGCAGGATCTCCTCAATCCCAAATGAGGTGGCAGATTCACTGGAGGACTGAGTTGCTGCGCCTGTGCACTGATGTGATAGAAACCTGATGTTGGAAATGCTGTGGAATTGGAAAGCAAGGTGTCACTTTAATTAGGTTTCACATTAAGTAAACAGAGTATTATAAATTAAAATCTGATGTAACTGTAGAAAAGGCAAATGCCAAGTAACGGTGTGGACTGGCTTGCAGCACCTGTGAAGGCACCACGATGATGTTAGTGAATGTACTTGGAGAAGGGGAGGGGAAGTGACTTCAGATTCTGAAACCAACCACATTTTCGCAAGGCATGCAAGGTAAATGTCGTTTCCCTGACACTTTTAGAGTTTTGTTTTTTACGTCCTCTTTGAGAAGATATAAAACTATAGTTTGGTTTTATACCTGTCACCTTTTGAAGGTAGGTAAGGAATCCCAACTTACATTGCTGTATTTCTGAAAAACTCTAATGGAGTTTAGAACTAGGTAGGTTCTTAAAAACCCCCGAAGTTTACTCTGTCAGTTTATACACGGGGAACAGACTTGGAGGTCACATCACTTTCTCCAGGTTGCACAGCTGACTGGAACATCCCCACCCTGGTCTTGCCTATAAGATCCAGCCCTTTACTGGGTTAGCCAGGTGTCCCCAAACTTTTTACACAGGGGGCCAGTTCACTGTCCCTCAGACCGTTGGAGGACTGCCACATACTACTGTGCTCCTCTCACTGACCACCAATGAAAGAGGTGCCCCTTCCTGAAGGGGGGGCATAAATGGCCTCAGGGGGTCACATGCAGCCCGCGGCCGTAGTCTGGGGACACCTGGGGTAAGCCCTTAGGGTGCACGGTAGTGCTCTTCATATATGGCCGTTTTCCACGTATCCACAAGCAGTATCTGTTAAGTCAAGATTCATATGACCTAGTGGGATTCTTTTTTTTTTTTTTCGAGACGGAGTTTCGCTCTTGTTACCCAGGCTGGAGTGCAATGGCGCGACCTCTGCTCACCGCAACCTCCGCCTCCTGGGTTCAGGCAATTCTCCTGCCTCAGCCTCCTGAGTAGCTGGGATTACAGGCACGCGCCACCATGCCCCGCTAATGTTTCGTATTTTCAGTAGAGACGGGGTTTCACCATGTTGACCAGGATGGTCTCGATCTCTTGACCTCGTGATCCACCCGCTTCGGCCTCCCAAAGTGCTGGGATTACAGGCTTGAGCCACCGCGCCCGGCCCAAGTCAAGATTCATATGAAGACAACTAAAAAACCCAAGTTAAAAAGTGTTTTGTTACAGTCCTAAAAGCAGTGAGAGATGACTCAACAAAGACAAGTTCAAGTATTCTTTATTCAAAGTTGAAAAATGTACCATACTGCATTATTGCAAAAATTCACTGGTACAAAACACTTTGCAGCTGGTGAGAAGGCAATAAAAAGTTGATTTTTAAACTCATTACTATAAATTATTCTTACAGTACTTTGCAAATTCAGAATTTCAAACTGCATTTTCTTTTTCTAAATTGCCCACAGTACTCGAGGTTCCTGAAGCTAAGGCAGCTGTTTCAGAGGAGAGGGGAGGAGGTAGCAGATGTCAAGGGATTTCCATTTCTCTTTCGATGCCGACATACTTCAGGGCATCAGCCTGACTGTATCTGAAACAACAGGAAAAAGCATGTCTGGTGGACAACCACCCATCCAACATGTGCTGAGACTTAACAAAGCCTGCTCAATACAGTGACTGCATTCAAACGTTTTTTTTTTTTTTTTAAAAAAAGAAAAACCATACACATACATCCAATTACATGGCTGCCTGCATAAGGGCACATTCATAGAAGCAACGCATTGGTCTATGTTGCTGGCCATCTAGTTGAGATGCTGCCAAGTTCTGAACTGAACAAATCTGGCCAGAGCTCTGCCCAGCCTTCCCCTATGCCTCTGAAGCAAGTGGCCCCAGGAAGGCGGGTGCACGTAATGATGTTTAGGCCTGATGCTGAAAGGCAAAATAGAACCATGGTCTGTAAAGAACGATTGACCACAGCAAAGAGGGCCAAAGACCAGCTGTCAGTCACTCCCCCAGGTGAAAAAGAACTGGAGTGGAGCAGACACCCAGGAAGAAGCACAAGCAGCCCATCTGTGGGGGGGGGGGGGGCACCCAGCCAGCCCAAGGAAGCTGGATAGCTTTGCCTCCAACCCCAGCTCCACCCCCCACTCTTCATTCACAGCAGGCCTGGAAAGAAGTGGCCTTTTGATAAAGGGGGCCTTTCACTCAGACCTCATCTGCTTCACTGAGAGCTCTCGGCTCTGCAGCAGACATTAAAGGCCAGTCGGAATATGTGAGAACTCAGTACTCACAAACAGCTTCTGGAAGGGATGTATACAGGGCCAAAGGAGTTCATGAACTAGACAGTCATCTGATTGCACTTAAATCTGTTTTAAATTTATGACTTAAATTTATCCCACAGAGCTTGACAGCATCAACTGGCAGCCTAATGCCTAACCACACACAGTTAGAAACCATCAGTGGCTCACAAGTGCCAACAACTCCCCACCAGCTTTTTTCCCCGGAAAGAACCCACAGGTGACCAAGCAGCAATTTGCCACCAGCACCTTTTAAAATAATAATCTGTGTAGCTGGGCGCGGTGGCTCAAGCCTGTAATCCCAGCACTTTGGGAGGCCGAGGCGGGTGGATCACAAGGTCAACAGATCGAGACCATCCTGGTCAATATGGTGAAACCCTGTCTCTACTAAAAATACAAAAAAGTAGCTGGGCATGGTGGCACATGCCTGTAATCCGAGCTACTCAGGAGGCTGAGGCAGGAGAATTGCCTGAACCCAGGAGGCGGAGGCTGTGGTGAGCTGAGATCGCGCCATTGCACTCCAGCCTGGGTAACAAGAGCGAAACTCCGTCTCAAAAAAATAAAATAATAATAATCATCATCATCTGTGTAGTAAGTATAATAGCAAACAATAAATTAAGTAGATCTCATCAGTAAAGATATACACAGTACACTGTCAAGTAAAACCATGTTGCAGAAAAATCTACAGGACAGTGTGATCACATTTACTCTGGAAAATGTTCCACAAGCAAGCATGCAGCATGATATGAAAAAGTCTAGGACTCACCCAGCTGTCAACAGCAGGGTGAGAAATGGGGCTTTCTGCATGGATTTTATTGTTTTAAAAATAAGCATGACTTGTATAATAAATAAATGGATAATGAATACCTAAGAAGAAAATGTAACCTAATTCCCCACTAATGCCCATGGCAAACACTAACTTGTCAAAAGAATTCACCCCACACCTCAGAGACGGCACATCTAAAAAATATTCTTTGTCCAGAGTTCACAATCCAGTAGAAAAAGCCCTTAGAGATCATGCTAGAAATGTACTTTACCAACCTGTAATCAAAAAACAGCTCTTCACCAGTCTGGATGGCTCTCTTGGCAAAAATACCTATCCTGTGATCGCCGTTAACCATCATAACTGGAATGAGAGACACTGGTGTCAGTGAGCATGAAGACGGGCAACGGGTGGTTAACTGACTTGTTGACATAACAAACTATCCCAGAAGTATTCAAGTCCCTCATCACAGGATTGAAAAGGGAGCTCCAATTCTGACTTCAAAGGTACCTACCTTTTGCATAGCAGTTTGGATTTACCGAATGATTTGCAAAACGAATTTTGTTACCCTTGCGGGTTGCGTCCACCACAAAATCTAAAAAAAAATAAGCACAACCCAGTGAATAATTTCAGTTTTAAGTCAATTAAGTTATTATGATTCTGTAAATGCAACTGGGTATAGTTCTTCACGGTTTGTCTGCAAAAGCAAATAAATCATTCAACCAACTTCATTATGTAAGAAATGACATTTGGAAGAACATACTATTTATTGTTGCAGGTTAAATTTAATCACCTGTAATTCAAGATGGTTATCTGACTCAAAAGCTATTACTTATCAACTATAAACATATCTTACTGAGCAAAACATGGCCAAAAAAACCAGAATCTAAATTCTTCCAAACATCAAGAATAGGCATTTTCACATTTAAAATTAATTTTAATGTCTGTGAAGCATTCTTAAAGAAAACCTACTACTTCCAACTAAGAGTTTCTCTGAATATCTTACATGTTAAGCCTACCTCCATTTTCACATAATCCCACCAGAACACTCCCTACAGCCTTACATTCTAACCCTAGAACATACATCAGCTATGCAAGAAGCTGCCTTTCCTCTCAGTCCTTTGAAAATATCCAGGGAAGTCTGGAAGATGCTTTCAAATGCAGTGCTCCTCCCTGGTCAGAAGCACTGATTGGAGGAGGTGTGCTGAGCTTCCTGAACACAAGAGGTGAGCAACAACAGAGCACAATGTCCCCTTCACAGCCGGAGACTGGTGCAGCCCCATCCACAGATGGCTGGGACTCTAGCAGGGCGGTTTCCTGGTATTTGCTGCCTGAGGAATTCCTTTCCAGCCAGCAGCCCCCCATGCTTTTTTGGAGATCTTCCTTCTGGTCACCTCACTGCCCTCTACCTTCATTTCTGAAGCAGAAATTGCATGCAGCAAAAGGCTGCCACATGCAATTCAGAGGAACTCACTGCCTCCCAGCTTAAAAACATACCATTGTTCAAGTTGAACAGAAAGCTGCACATGTATTTATCATACACTTTCCCTCTTCTGTCGGCTTCATCTTGAGAAATAATCTAAAGAGAAGGACACAGGAAAAAATTCTTTTGGATAAAGGTGATCAAGCCTGAGAACACACAAAAGCTCACAGAGTGAATACTGGACCTTCTGGAGAATACTCAACAAAAAGGGTCACTACTGCCTACTTCTCTTTCCCATTCAGTCTGCACACTGAACCCAACTCAGAAATATTTCCACATCCCAAAGTAATTACCCTTGGAGAAAGTAAGAAACAGAAGTCTTTTTGCTGAGTTACACACACACACACACACACACACACACACACACACACACACACACACACACATACATATGTTGGCTCATGCCTAATTCCAGTACTTTGGGAGGCAGAGGCAAGCAGATCACCTGAGGTTGGGAGTTCAAGACCAGCCTGTCCAACATGGAAAAACCCCGTCTCTACTAAAAACAAAATTATCTGCGTGGTGGTGCATGCCTATAATCTCAGCTACTTGGGAAACTGAGGCAAGAGAATCACTTGAACCATGGAGATGGAAGCAAAGGTTGCAGTGAGAAGAGATCATGCCACTGCACTCTAGCCTGGGCAATAGGAGCGAAACTTCATCTCAAAAAAAAAGCGGGGGTAGGTGCGACACACAAATCGGGTGAGTTGGTTCCAAACTGAAGCTAACCCTATGATTTTTCTGTAACTCAACAATTTAAAAGGTGAGTAACTAATGATACTGTTGTTTCTAGGTCCTTATCAACTAGACTGTGGATTAAGCAGGACACTAAGATAAAGCTCTTGTTCTCCCTGTTGTCCCTAGATGAGAAAAGCTAAATATGGCTAGAATCAAAGCAATCCAGTTATTTTTTTTCCCTTTGAGACAGGGTCTCACTTTGTCGCCCAGAATGGAATACAATGACACAAACATGGCTCACTGCAACCTCAACCTCCCAGGCTCAAGCGATCCTCCTGCCTCAGCTTCCAAATGGCTGGGACTACAGGTATGCGCCACCCTGCCCGGCTAATTTTTGCATTTTTTTTGTAGTAATGGGGTCTCGCCATGTTGCCCATGCTGGTCTCCAACTCCTGAGCTCAAACAATCCACCTGCCTTAACCTCCCAAAGTACTGGGATTGCAGGAGTGAGCCACCACACCCAGCACCATCCAGTTACTAAGCATGCAAATCCATAACCTGCAGAAGTCCAGGCTGAAAAGGCAGTTTATGGCAATTCATTTCCAATCAAACCCACAGACCTACCTAATGAAATCAATCTAAAATAAAGGAAAGTTATTATATACAATTCCACCTGAATGTAGGTGATCAGTGCCTTACCTCTCCACAGTATTCTGAGATGAATTCATTTTTCTGCACAGGATCTTTAATAAAAATCCCCCAGCCTGCCACATCAGATGGTGCCAGCAATAAATGCTAGAGAATAAAACACAATCATAAATCAAAAAAGAGGGTAAAGACGGACGAGGGACAAATTAGACTACAGAATAAAAACGAAGTCATCGCTGTCAATCTTCAGACCTGTTCTAAGGTAGTAATGGAGCACATAGCTTCAGTCAATGTGAAAGCTGCTGAGAATGGCTGGCTAAGTATGAAAATTATGTTTTTCTTACAGAGCAGAGAAGTATCACCGTCTTACCGAAAAAAGTTTGGTGGTGTTGCTTGTCTGCATTATGGCTGCACTTTGGCTGCCTGGTCTCCTTAGCCCTTGATTTCCTTAAGTAATTTACCTTCATCCTGAATTTAATATAAGGGCACCACCGAATCACTCTTCCTCTTCAAAACTTTCCCTCTACTTCCGTCAAGTGATATCTATTACCAGTTATAGATTGCCCTCAAGGACACCCCGATTCTTCACTGGCGTTTGTTCCCTCTGAAGCCCACAGCAGCTTTCTTTTGGATTTGTTCTTCCACCCTACTTCCTCAGGATAACATGAAAATCTACCCAGAGGTGGCAGCATGATCTTGTCAGTCCAGTAGTCTATTTTCAGCAGAAAGGCCAAGATGATCACTGCAGTAAATTACATAGTTAGGGATGTGTTCTCAAACACATGCCAATTTTTCATCATGGCTCATTATTATGCTTTCATTCAAAATTTTCTTATGACCTTTACAAAGGCTTTCTGATCACTCAAGCTTCCAATCTATTCCTATTCTGGAACATTCTACCACTCACCTGTGAGGTGAACTTCCCAAATACCCTTTTGATCAGAAACTAAATTATAGCTAAATACTGCTATGCAAATGAAACCCAATTGGTAAAAAGTACCTACATAGTTTAACATTGTTAAGAGCTAAAAAACGTCTTACAAAGAGGACATGTCAGTATCAATAGTATTGCCCTCTTTCTGAACAAAGTGAGGAAGCAGTGCAATGGCGAGTTGTTTGGGCAAGAAATGGAGATTTTTAGGTCTGAACGGGTATTGCCATCGGAAACTGAACCAGCATCACTGTGATCCAGTCATCTAAATGGATATATAACTGCATAGAGTAAAATGATTTAAATGCCTAAAAGAAAAAAAATCACAGCTAAAAACAAAAACAAAAACCTACCACCCTGCACAGCTATCTGCCATAAACGCAGATTTTGGTTCAAAGACACAAGGGAACAAAACCAAGAGAAGTTCAGTGTTTTACCTGGAGCAGAACTTCTGGTTGAAGGGGACTTGCTGGTAAAAAGTGTAATCACAATCATAAATAAATGGTCCAACAACGTAAGATATGTCTACTCTACACCCCCCAACACACATACACACAGCATAAGAGCAGGTTAATGGGAGTGGGAGCCTGGGAGATTTGATCTCCTGCTGCTTTACAAGTCTTGTGACTTTGTGTTTCCTGTACCCGTAAAATGGGGTTAACGTTTATTTCTCACTCACAGTTATCAGGATCAATGAACAAATCCACTAAAGCACTTAGAACAGTGCCTGCTATTTTTACATGCTTGATAAATGTCAGCTATTATTTTTTTATTTTTTATTTTTATTTTTTTCTGAGACGGAGTTTCGCTCTTGTTACCCAGGCTGGAGTGCAATGGCGCGATCTCGGCTCACCGCAACCTCCGCCTCCTGGGCTCAGGCAATTCTCCTGCCTCAGCCTCCTGAGTAGCTGGGATTACAGGCACGCACCACCATGCCCAGCTAATTTTTTGTATTTTTAGTAGAGACGGGGTTTCACCATGTTGACCAGGATGGACTCGATCTCTTGACCTTGTGATCCACCCGCCTCGGCCTCCCAAAGTGCTGGGATTACAGGCTTGAGCCACCGCACCTGGCAATGTCAGCTATTATTATAAGAAGAACCGACTGAAGAAAAAAACCTATCATCTACCCTAAAAAAAAAAGACAAATTTTCCAAACACATGTTGTTGCAGTTTCTTTTGCTCAGTAATTACTTCCTGACTGATACAGTTAAAATTACCTACATACAATTCCCAGAATTCAAATATATAATTCCTGGCTGGTTTTTTTTTCAAGGTTATTAAACAGGAACTAAGTCTATAAAAACCTGCCATGGGAAATTTCATCTTTTACCCTACATAGTAAGGAACCCATAAATACTATCTGATGATAATGAGTCTGTGTTTTGATAGAAATCACCATTTATTTGCATTAAGGATACTGGATAAAGAGAAATTCAAATCTCTATTAAACAGCTAGAAAAACAGCTCTTATTTCAAATCTGATACCATGAATGGTACTTCTCAGAATTTGCTGGTTTCTCCCACCACCAGAGTACAGTGTTCTTCAGAATACTGAAGAGACTGCCCCATAGTGCATTACCCAGAGAAAATTAACAATACTTTCTTTCTCATCTGTTGCACCTTTCAAGGATCACTTTTACTTTTTGCCCCAGTGAAATCATCTAAGACAATCCTGAGATTGGCACCACTAAAAACAACCTTCCGGAAGCAACTTGTTGCTCACCTTTTTGGAGCCCCGCTGAATACTGCAGTTCTTACAGGACACATTTTTACTGTCCCAATGGTCAGCAGCTCCACAAGTAAGACAGAGGTCAGGGTCACACTCTCGGACCGCCAGATAGCATGGGCACTGCTTGGTGTTGCACTGTGCTTTGCAGCGGCATCCCGGAAAGCGGTTTTGACCTTCAGAGAGAGGTGTGGAAGTTCTTCACTCATCATCAACACCATCACTATCACAATCATCACCATATGCAAGAACTTGCAGAAAGATATGTGGCAAGGGCCATACTGAGCATCTGACTGACTCTCAACCCTCACAACCACCTTATTACTCCACTGTATAGACAAGGAAATGGAAGTATTAACAGCGAAGTTAAAGCTGTTTGTACTGAAAAAGACCACCACTGAGTTGTTTTTCCATTTTTCATTTGTTAAATAATGTATATATTTAAAGTGTGAATAAAGGGTTTGGATGAAACAATATCCATGGTCCTTGACCACTCTAATAGCTCCTAGTTCTAAACACTCCCTTAGTACTCAAGCTTCATGTGCAGTTTTATTAAACAATTATAATAATCCCCTACATTTATGCTACATTCCTTTATTCTGAAGACTAAAACCTTCCTAAACTCTGACAACTTCTGGTGCCCAAAAATTATTTGGGTAGCTCCTTCTAGATTCCTCTTACAATCTGTGCCGACTTTTAATATGACTTAATTTAAATGATCAAAGAAGAAAAAAATGAAATTCAGGTTCCTTTAATACAACTTTGCCTGCCTCATACACATAGACACACGACACCCAGGCGACTGACTGGTCACTGGCATGGGGCCAGGTATGGGGCTCAATCAATACCTGTAGAATCGATGAAATTTCCTAAAGTAAGCAAGGGAGTGCTCCTGTGTTCTTACTTTTTGATTTTTTAAATTGCTGACCAAAGGCCTATTTAGTTCTCATGCAATTGCATCAAAGCAACAAATACTTACACTCTGAACTACATTGACAAAACTTTTCACAAAAATTTTGTGCTATCACACAAGGGCACGAACTGTCACAAGGCTGCCGTGGATGATCACAGGGTTGATAGTTGTAAACATGGTTAGAGGAGCCGTCTGAATAAAGATAACATCATGCAGGCCAATGAATCCAGGGAGATGGGAAACGATCATACACAATTAACAAGAGTACATTCTTCCCTACTACCTGTGGAGTGTAGCTGGCCTTCCTTTACTGAATGCATAGTGTTACACATATTCCTGTTTACAGAATGATGGCAAAAATACTCTCCCACCCCCAAGTGCTTGTGAGCTCTATCTAGAGCAGGGCTACATCTCAGTCCCATCCCAAAGCATTTCTCCTTCAACTGACTAGGACTCACAACTTCCAATCAGCCTCCACTTCACAGAAGAGAACCGAATGGGGATTCATCAACAGACATCCTCCATTCAAATTGGTTTAATGTACAGAAGGCAATTATATTAGAATAACCCAAGCTCTAATTCAGTTACTATTCTAAAACAAATGAGAACAAAGCAGACATTGTTAAGCCAATGACCAGGGAAATGGAAAGATGCTAACCCTTTTTCAGCTGTATTTTTCTGCAGTGTGCAGCCCACAACCTGCAAAAACACAAAGAAAATGAAACATGAACTTTTGCAGGGAAGCTACAAATCCAAGAGAGAGCTGCCTGACTGGATCGCTCTGTGCCATGAACACAAAGTGTGTTAAAGCCAAGAGTCATGCCTCCCCCAGCTAATTCTTGCCATAGTTTGGAGCAATTCAAACAGCTTGATGGCTCAGGCTGCCCCAGGTGTGGCAAGATGTCATTTCTTGTGTTTATCCATGACTCCTGGTCAGGACCCCATAATTTTAAGGACTCTTAACATGCCAAATATACTGAAGCCTGCTGTATTCTTATAGAAAAATACTAGCAATTCCCAGTGGAAAAAGGATTCCACAGTTCTGTTTTTGATGGCAGTTTAAGGTTTTTAAAAACAGACTAAGTAGAAACCAACAGCAACCCTTAGGAAGGGCCTCGTGGGCAGTGTCTGTGTTGACTTCTCTAAGAGGTTCATGGTAGACTCACCTGTGTTTCCTCTTCTTTTTCCTTGGAGGAGTGTCCACATCCTCAGCGGGAGCTGGAGCTATGATGCTAGATTCTTTGACTCTAAACTCATACACCTGACAAGAGGCACAGTCACAGAGCCATGAGGACAGTCTTATTCAGGCAAACCATTCTTATACTCATGCATACCAGATAAATGTTTTTGTCTCTTCTGTGACAATGCTAGATGCTCAGGATATAAAAGACATCACTGTCTCTACCCTCACACTGGGGGTAGCTGTAATTATATTCTGGTCAAAAACCGTGATGCTAAATTTAAATGCTTACTAGCTTTTAAAATCTAACCTTAAATGTCTACAGTGGGGAAATTCTGTAACCTACGTGAAGAATAATTTTCATTCAATTCCCTCTTGAGAAGAAAAAATAATTTTTAGGAGATGAATAGAAACTTAGTAATAACCAAGAATTTTCTTTGTTTGGACAGTGAGTACATTTTTATCCCTATTTTTGAGGTTCTTTTAACAACATTTTTATCGGATATCTTACCTGTCTACATGTTTTGGTCCCAATTAACCTAGCAATGGCACAGAAATTGTCATAGTAAGTGCCAATGAGGACTCTAAACATTGAGGCTTCAGCACCACTCCACTCCACATTCTCAGGAGGCTCAATATTTGGCTTCATCTTTATTGGTGTTTGACACCGAGAATTTGCTTCTACAAAACCAAATGTAAGCACTGGTCAATAAATGATGACTGGAAATAATATTAAGAAGTAAAATTCAGGGTATGCTTAAGAAAAAAGCAAAAAGATAAGGAAAACTAAAATCCAATCCGTAAAATACTAACTTATCAGTAGTTTACATTTTCGCTCTAACCAAAACTACTGATAGAACATCAAGAATATTAAACCAAATGATCCGAATTCCATTATTCCCTATCTGAGAAAGATCGAAAAAGAAAAATGGCACAAAGAATGAGAATAAAGTGCATCATCAACTTTCCAACAACCAAGCAGGGCAAACATCACAAGCTAGGGTAGGGGTGGAGGCAGGAAACAGAAGCAATGCAGCTACACATTCTTGAGATAGCACTGGTCTTAGATTTCTCATTATACTGAAAACTAAGAAAATTATTCAATGCATTATATATCCTTAATCCTCATTTTATGAGCTTTCACAAAACAATAAAACCCAATTATTAAACGTGTCTTACCAGAGGAGCTCGAAGTTTCGTCTTTCTTCTCTTCTTCTTCTTTATCATTGTTCTCTCCCCCTGTTTCAGTCCCTGCTTCCCTATCACTGTCCGTATCCTTTGATTCCAGCACATTAATGGTGGGGGTGCTGGGCCTGCTACTGTTATTGGGAAGCCGTCCTCTTCTGCGGCCTCCTGGGCGTTTTGGTGGGGTCTTTATCCGCTCAGCGGTGAGAGCAGCAGCAAACTCTTTTGCTCCCTCCTACAAAATGAAAAATGTTGACATCAGGGCAAAGTTCTAAAACTCATTTTGATGGAAGAGAAAAAAAAAATACTGTATAAGCAAAGTTAGTCAAAAAATTTATCACATTATCCATTTATCACAAATAATCATTTGCATGTCTAATATACTTCTTTTGATCTGCTTTTAAATAGTCTGAAAATTTCAGAAAGAGAAACATGGGTTCTATATATTCCTAGGATGGTACAAAAATCAAGCAAGATAGTTCTAAATTGTGAATTTGTAAAATATATTAACAGGTTATAATTAAGTTAAAATATAAGAAGATAAAGTATGAAATACACTTCATGTAATAAAGTTAATTATTTCTATGGACATACAGTCTATGTAAAAGTGAATCTTTACAGAAGAATCATATATATAATGTGCACGGAGTCAGAATACCTATGTAGAGTTTAAGATATTGCATACATCTCACGTTAATATTTAAAGTACACAAGAACACGAAACACAAACACGCTTGACTTTATCACTTCCTGTCTTACTATTAAAACATCCAAACTTTTTTTTTCCTGTGAAGGATACACAGCCACAGGAAGACATAAAAGGAATTTCAGGAACAAGACTGTGAGGGTTACATCTGGCATTATGAAGTACAGTAATCCAGTCTCAAAGTATAAAACAATGGTAAGAGCATGGTTTATAGAGACCACAGAAACATTTCGGATGAGCCAAACAAAATTCTGCCTTGTAAAGAATATCATAAAACAGTGCTCAAGAATTCCATTTTTTTTCTTTTTAGTGGAAATAGAAGGGAGAAGTTTGACAGCAGCCAACAGTCTTATACTTCATTCTACAAAAACCAAATTGCTTAAAAATAGGATACCTTCTGCAGGTGCCATTCAATGAATCTTCTGTCCAAAATCCAACAGGCAATATATACCCATTTAGTTCCTAGGTAGGAGTGGCTTGGTTCAAAGAGGGGAAATGGTAAAAATAAGAGAGTACCCGTAAAAAAAACAACTTTTCTACCTCATATTTTCCTAACCCCTTACCTTTTCTCCATCATTTAAAAAAAAAAAAACAAAAAAACATCTCTGGGTTCTATCATATACCTGAAATGACAGTGCATCTAAAACTCAAGCAGAGGGATACAGCTATGAGAAGGGCTTGGGATCTACTATTGTATATGGTTACTGACTGCCTGGTTTCTAAGTGGACTATCTGTGTCTCACACTCTCATAGACTTTGTGGAAGGCGTAAGAGTCCTTGATCCTAAAGACCTTGACATGTTGCTGAAAAGATAACACAGATTTTAAAAAGAATAATACCACATTAATGAAAGACTAAAATGTGTAGTAAATGAGCTATGGAAGAAACAACATGGGTGAGAAAACTGTCTATCATATGGCCCATAACAGCATGGGTGCAGACAACATTAATGCTGACTTGACCACCTCCACCAAAATGCAAAATTAAGTCCTCTCAAGTACCCTCTGGAATAATAAGGTACTACGTCTTACCAAATGCTGGTAACACTGTGGTCCACAAGGTTTGTTGTCTAGAGCTGTTTCTGTGTTCTTCCGCTTGTAAGTGTTGGGTGTTGCATGAAAAGCTGAAAAATAAATGAAACATAATGAATCTAATATAACTATAAAATACTTTTTCATTATTTTTAACATAAAGATTAATAGACAATAATATAATCTTGCTAATACAGTATGTGGTTTACATTACTTTATACAACTTTCCTTCAAGCTCTTACTGAACAATCACAATGTATTCTCCATTCCTCTTCCTCCAACCAGTTAGCAGGAAGAAAAAACAGTAAATTCTGGAATTATTTGTGATTTCTCATTTTTTCTCCTTGCAAGTAAAACTAATGCACATAACTATGGTTATAAACATTTACTTAAATTGAATCTTTCTCCATTGAAGCAGTTGATATTCCCTCTACAATTAAATTAGATTTCCTATTTTTAATCAAAAGAATTCTGACATACAATTTCTTATTTCAAAAGAAAGGTCAGCAATCAGCTTGTCAAATGGGAAGCAAAAAGAGATACCAATTATAAAAACTCGTTTTTAAAGATAAAGAAGACAATCCCAATTACTAATATTCAGTTCCTCTGAATCATACCCAATCCAAGAACCTGGTGAGAGCTTACAGTGTCTTTCCACAGAAAATTACGATGTCAATACACAGGTTTTAAAAAGATACACCATTTGAAACCTACAATTCCAAAATAACGTAACAGAAAGATTCAAATGGTGATGTACTACTGCTCTATGAAAATGGTGTGAACACTGACAGCAGTGCAAACTGCAGACAATTTCTTGCAAAAACCTTGCTTCCCCCATGTACAAAAGGCAAATGCTGGAAATGGACTATTCAGAATTATACAAGATGAAAATCTGAATTAAAAACAAGTGACATTTCCATAAAACTAATTTTTTAAATAGTTATAAAAAGCCAGAAAGACTGATGAGAAAAGAAAAAAAAATAGAACAAAGTTGTGTTTTTAAAGAAGAAATTCAAGGCTCAGATTCTGTTCCAAATGTGTGAGCAACTAGACTTCAGACAGCCTAACACCATGACTAATTTGGTGCTAAATTACGTTCGCTTAGGAACCTGAATACAACTATTTTTCTGTTTATGAGTTAAATTAACATTGTAGCTGGTTCTCCGAAGAAAAAAATACATAATTTAAATAAAATATATAAACCACTTAACAAAAAAGTGACAATGAAATACAAAGGAAACAAGACTATCCACAAAAATAAAACGATCATTAGAGAACACAAACTTTATACAATTAAGTCTCAAGACCTAAATGTAAAGAATAATTTTCCAAAACTCATCTAGAGGAGACAGAACATTTATCTCTACCAGCACTACTAGTTTTTAAACTGCACTGAAAATACAAGCTACAGTACGTAGAAAAGACAGCTCTTTTCGAATTTGTCTAGCAGGCTTTCCAGGTTTTTTTTTTTAAAATCAGAAAGTCCCCCCGCCCAATCAAATTATAAATAAGTAGGTAGAAAAGAGAAAGAAGCTTCAGTTATAAAGACTAGAAGGAAGGCAAAACCATAAATAACTACAGACAGTATAATTAAACAGCTGGAAAACTCCTAAGAATGCACTGAGAAACTGATAAACATGAAGACAATGTAGTAAGGTAGTAGCAGGGTACAAAACAAAAGACAGAATGCAGAAAAGGCCCAACAGCAGCAACAAGTTTAATACCTAGAAATACTCAACAAAAAAATTACAAGAGTTATATAAAGAAAACCAGGCCAGGCGTGGTGACTAACACCTGTAATCCAAGCACTTTGGAGGCCAAGGAGGGCAGCTCACCTGAGGTCGGGAGTTCAAGACCAGCCTGACCTACATGGTGAAACTCCGTCTAAAAAAAAAAAAAAAAAATCTTGGGCCGTGCGCTGTGGCTCATGCCTGTAATCCCAGCACTTTGGAAGGCCGAGGCGGGTGGATCACGAGGTCAAGAAATCCAGACCATCCCAGTCAACATGGTGAAATCCTGTCTCTACTAAAAATACAAAAAATTAGCTGGACATGGTGGTGCGTGCCTGTAATCCCAGCTACTCAGGAGGCTGAGGCAAGAGAATTGCCTGAACCCAGGAGGCAGAGGTTGCAGTGAGCCGAGATCGCGCCACTGCACTCCAGCGTGGGCAGCAAGAGCGAAACTCCATCTCAAATAAATAAATAAATAAAAATAAAAAATAAAGAAAACTAAAGAAGCAATTAAAAAACACAGAGAGGTGATCATATGGTCAGACCCTTAAATTTTAAAAAAAGGTCATTTATAAATTTAATGAAATTCCAATAAGCATACCAATAATTTTTAAAAAAAAACAAAAACTAGAGAGACTTTGAAATGTATATAGGATAGGTGCAGTGGCTCACGCCTGTAACCCCAGCACTTTGGGAGGCCAAGGCAGGAGGATCACTTGAGGCCAGGAGTTCAAGACCAGACTGGGCAACACAGTGAGACCTGAATAGAAAAAGAAAAGAGAAGAAAGGGGCGGGGGGAGAGAAAGGGAAGGGGAAGGGGAAGGGAGGAAGGAAGGAGCCAACAATGGTGGTACAAGCCTGTAGTCCCAACTAGGCAGGAGCCTGGGGTGGGAGAATTGGTTGAGCTCAGGAAATCAAGGCCGCAGTCAGCCATGACTGTGCCACTGCACCACTCCAGCCTGGTGACAGAGCAAGATGCTGTCTAAAAATAAATAAATTTGTACAGAAAACAAGAATTGTCAGGAGATCTCTGAATGCTGCTTCATAAATTGTAGACAGACTAAAAGAACACAATGTTGAGAAAACCAAATACATATGCCAAATAGGCAATGAAGAAAATATCTCAAAGCAGTGAAAGTTGAACTTTTCAGTAAATGAAACAACTAGGCAACTTTCGAGATGAAAAGGAGAAATCAGATTTATAATCTACATCATATTAAATTCCAAATGGATTACAGATTTGTATGTTTAAAAAATGAACCCTAAAACATACTAGAAAAAATAGTGAGAAACCCTTTATAATCTTGGAATTAGAAAGCTAACTGATAAATTCAACTACTTTTCAAAAAATGTTTAAACTGAAAGGGCATGGTGGCTCACGCCTGTAATCCCAGCTCTTTGAGAGGCCAAAGCAGGCGGATCACTTGGGGTCAGGAGTTTGAGACCAGCCTGGTCAACATGATGAAATGACGTCTCTACTAAAAATACAAAAATTAGCTGGGTGTGGTAGCACATGCCTATAGTCCCCGCTACTCTGGAGGCTGAGGCACAAGAATCGCCTAAAACCAGGAGGCATAGGCTGCAGTAAGCCAAGATCACACCACTGCACTCCAGTCTGGGTGAGAAAGGAAGAATCTGTTTCAAAAAAAAAAAAAAAAAAAAAAAGGTTAAACTTTGCTTGTGGGACTTTTACCAAATAAACTGGAAAAAAAATGCAACTCATATTTTAAAAAACCTAATTTCCAGATTATAGAAAAAAGCTCCTAAGATATCAAAAAGACCTATGAGCAAAAGAATAAAAATAGGCCAGGCGCAGTGGCTCACACCTGTAATCCTAGCACTATGTGAGGCCGAAATGGACAGAGCACCTGAGGTCAAAAGTTTGAGACCAGCCTGGCCAACATGGCAAAACCCTGTCTCTACTAAAAGTACAAAAATGAGCCAGGCGAGGTGGTGCGCACCAGTAATCCCAGCTACTCAGGAGGCTGAGGCAGGAGAATCACTTAAACCCAGAAGGCAGAAATTGCAGTGAGCCAAGATCACGACACTGCACTCCAGCCTGGGTGACAGCGAGACCCCCGTCTCACAAAAAACAAAGAAAAATAGTTCACTCTTCAACATATAGGAAGAGCCTACCCTCATTCAAAGGAAAAAAAAAAAACAAAAAACAGGTATAAAAATAAGGCTTATCACCTGTGGGAAGCAGAGATTAAAACATACAAAAACCCCAGAATTTAAAATTAATGCTAAAAGCCATTTTTCACTTACAAAATCAATTTTAAAATCAAAATCAGTTTGGTAACACCTTCTATTGATAGGGCTGTCTGACTTTGCTGGTCAGGCTTTAAATTGCTGTGGCCCCATATGGAGGTCATTTGGCAAGACCTAAACAGAGTTTATTACGAAAACTCGAACTTCTGTGAAATGGGTACAAATTTGCAAGGTGATTTCACTGTGGCACCATTACAGCATAAAGCTCAGAACAATCCAAATGGTCAATATTAGAGACAAGTCCAGTAAGTTCTGGAACCTCCTATAGCACAGACTATGCAGCTATACAGATAAGGCTAGTATCTACAATGTTAAATCCTATCCTTATCCCAAAAAAAGGGAAAAGCCTGAATGCTATGGCACTATTTAAGTAAGATGATCAGAAAAAAAAATATGTTTATACTTGCCAACGAAACTGTAAAAAATACGAGAGATCTAATAAAAGTGGTTAACTACTAATAAAAGTGGAAGGAGTGAAGTAAAAATTTGATTCATGAGGAACAGAAAGTCATTGGGAGACTTCATTGTACACATTTTCATACCCCTTCTTGTTTCCTTTTTTTTAAAAAAAAAAAAAAGAGATGGGGTCTCACTCTGTTGCCTGGCTAGAGTACAATGGCACAATCATAGCTCACTGCAGACTCAAAGTTTTAGGCTCATTTCCAAACAGCACAATAAAAAAACTATTATAATGTTTAAAAGTAGTGTCCCGCCGGGCGCGGTGGCTCAAGCCTGTAATCCCAGCACTTTGGGAGGCCGAGGCGGGTGGATCACGAGGTCAAGAGATCAAGACCATCCTGGTCAACATTGTGAAACCCCGTTTCTACTAAAAATACAAAAAATTAGCTGGGCATGGTGGCGTGTGCCTGTAATCCCAGCTACTCAGGAGGCTGAGACAGGAGAAGTGGCTGAACCCAGGAGGTGGAGGTTGCAGTGAGCCGAGATCGCGCCATTGCACTCCAGCCTGGGTAACAAGAGTGAAACTCTGTCTCAAAAAATAAAATAAAATAAAATAAAATAAAAGTAGTGTCCCTACTTCTATGGTTCATTTTTACAGCAAAAAACTTTATTAAATGCTACATCTATAAACAACAAATTGGAAGGACTTTTCAATGACTCTAAAATACAGCTTCTACTCTATTCTTCTGCTACAGTGGTATCTGCATGCAATTTACAATATTCTTTTTTTTCTTTGAGATGGGAGTCTCACTCTGTACCAGTCTGGAGTGGAGTGGCATGATCTCAGCTCGCTGCAACCTCTGCCTCCTGGATCCTGGTTCAAGCAATTCTCCTACCTCAGCCTCTCAAGTAGCTGGGATTACAGGCATGAACTACTGTACCCAGCTAATTTTTGTATGTTTTAATAGGGACAGCGTTTCACCATGTTGGGCAGTCTGGTTTTAAACTCCTGACCTCATAGTCCGCCCACGCTGGCCTCCCAAAGTGATGGGATTATAGGCATGAGCCGCCGTGCCCAGCCGTAATTTACAATATTTTTAATAAAAACTGGACGATGTAATTCATAAATTGACGGTGTGAAAAGGAATTAAAATGAAATTTAAGACAACTATTTCGCCGGGCGCGGTGGCTCAAGCCTGTAATCCCAGCACTTCGGGAGGCCGAGGCGGGTGGATCACGAGGTCGAGAAATCGAGACCATCCTGGTCAACATGGTGAAACCCCGTCTCTACTAAAAATACAAAAAATTAGCTGGGCATGGTGGCACATGCCTGTAATCCCAGCTACTCAGGAGGCTGAGGCAGGAGAAGTGCCTGAACCCAGGAGGCAGAGGTTGCGGTGAGCCGAGATCGCGCCATTGCACTCCAGCCTGGGTAACAAGAGCGAAACTCCGTCTCAAACAAACAAAACAACAAAAAAAAAGACAACTATTTCAAGGGCTTAACTGTCTACTGGTTGAAGCAACAAACATATGACCTACTACGGATTATTAAAAACACCAAATCAGTTTAAACTAGATGAGGAGTTCAGACAAGAACAAGGAGATGACGATATAATGATAATTCTAAAAATCTACTTCTTTTTTTCCATTTTAAGATAACTAAACCACTGTGTCACATACAAAAACAAAAACAAAAAAACATTTCCAGACCAATGTATACATCACTCAACAAATAAGCTGCAGCAAAAATAAGCAGATACAGCAAAAACTTAAGAGGAAGTGAGAACAGCTGCTTGGGCAAGCTTAAAAAGATGTACTATTGGTGAATGAGGAGGAATCAATCTGTAATCAGTAGGCACAGGAACTGAGACCAGCAAAGCAATGTAGGGCCATTTAGTACAGGGGAAAATGATTTTACATGGGGTCAAAGCTCCTAAAGAAATTACCGGCCGGGCGCGGTGGCTCAAGCCTGTAATCTCAGCACTTTGGGAGGCCAAGGTGGGTGGATCACAAGGTCAAGAGATCGAGACCATCCCGGTCAACATGGTGAAACCCCGTCTCTACTAAAAATACAAAAAATTAGCTGGGCATGGTGGCGTGTGCCTGTAATCGCAGCTACTCAGGAGGCTGAGGCAGGAGAATTGCCTGAACCCAGGAGGCGGAGGTTGCGGTGAGCCGAGATGGCGCCATTGCACTCCAGCCTGGGTAACAAGAGCGAAACTCCATCTCAAAAAAAAAAAAAAAAGAAATTATCATGCCATAGACAGCCGAGTAAAATACAATATAGGAATGACTAAACTATAATAAGCGAATTACTCTAGGAATATTAGGAACTATGAAATACATTTTCAAAATATGTGCCTCAAAAGTAGTTGATGCTTTTAAACTGCACTTAAAAGTTTCAATTACCAATTACAATTCAATTACCAAATTTACTAAGAAACCACATTGTCTAGAAATGTCAGGGGGGGAAAGTATTATTGTATATACCATCCTTTAATTTCACTAAGAACATTTTGTTTTACTTGTATTCAAATGCAGGTATTTTTAAAAACTTACCTAAGACAGAAAAAAAAAAAATACCCTAAATCGACAAGCACTTACCTGAACCTTTTTTTGGGCCAATTTCTTATTCAACAAAATTTGTTCATCAATATCAACAATGTTGCTCTGGGCTATCAGTTCATAATAACAGTTTTATCATAAAACAACTGCTTAGTTAGCACTTACGGTTGGGGGGGGTGGGGGGGGTGGGGGGGGGAATCGCTGACCTGAATTCTGTATTAGTGGAAAATAGTAGTCCAAACGAAATACATACAAAAGATTTCAGAGCAATCCTCAAGCAGCAAAGTAAAAATAGTAATACTGAGATCTAAATATATTTTTCAAATACAAGGTTAAACAATAAGTTCTAGTTGTAATAATGATAGCACTCTCCAAGCTGCTTTAAAACATAATTCCACAACAAAGATAGAAAATGAAAACGTACAATAATTGCACTTACGATGTAGGAAGCAGTCATATTTAAAACATCGCCTACAGAAAAGCGTATGAAAGGAGTGTAAGCTTTGCTCTCTCTGAACAGATTTAGCATTTGGTCCATCTATGTTGGGGGTACATTCAGGAGGAAGCGCACCTGGGAGCTGCTGTTCGGTGAGTTCTTTATATCTGACATTAACCAAGAAAAATTTAAGTAAATATGAAACAAAAATCACTTTTTTGAAAACAAATTTCTAAAGGTTTCCGTGTGTTACTTTTGATGTTTATCTTGCCTGAAGCACAGAGAAATGCCTCTAACCTACAACAATCTTTATTTAAAGAGCCAACTAAACATTATGCATGGTATTATCAAGAATCAAATTCATTGATATATTCAAATATATCATTGAAAAGGATATATTAGCTTTAAGTAAACACCAACTGTACTAAAATTTCTACCGGTATCCAGAGAATTTTCCTGTAAATGTACTACTGTAAATTACGTGTATATGGATTTATGTGTCTATATAAGTTATACACATGTATTTATTCTATCTACAGTAAATATTTTGTAGTGTAGAGTACCACAGGTATATATGTTGCTTCAAGTATCTTGCAAACATTGTCAACAAAGTGTAGTGGCTCATCTGCTACACTGATTCCATTTGTAATAAACCAAAATGGTGAGTTACATACCATACAGGGCAAGATTGCCTCAAAGGAACAAATCTTACTTTTCCTTTAGTTCTTCTGCTGTGCCCTTATCTGGAAACATTGAGGAAATGGCTTCAAAAATTTTATCAGAAGGAAATTTCCGAGGTGGGCGACTTTCTTTATCTAAACAGGAGAATATGAAAGAAAACAAAAAGAAAATAAACAAGTTTTCGATCTTTGATTTTCTCCACCCAAGTATGTCTCTGTAACAAAGCTGATTTTCGAAGAAATCATCAACTTTGTATTTTGCTTAATTCTCACATGTTTTACATGTGTCTGTAGAATGCCAGTCAGTCAAAAACAAAATTCAAATTCAAATATGAAAAGCTTTAAGAGCACTGTCAAGCAGAAAACCTAAATTCTACTCCCAGCTCTTAACTAACTGATTTTGTAACCAGGAGTGATCACTTTACCTCTTCAGTCTGTTTACTCATCTGTAAAATGAAGGAGCCAAACTAGATGATCACTAAGGTGCCTTTTTAAATTCTCTTTCTGAAATATGCTTCTTAGAAATTGCTATTTTCAGCCGGGCGTGGCCGCTCGTGCCTGTAATCCCAGGACTTAGGGAGACCAAGGCAGGTGGATCACAAGGTCAGAAGTTCGAGACCAGCCTGACCAACATGGTGAAACTCCGTCTCTACTAAAAACACAAAAAATTAGACAGGCATGGTGGCAGATGCCTGTAATCCCAGCTACTCGGGATAGGTTCAAGCAGGAAAATTACTTGAACCCAGGAGACAGAGACTGCGATGAGCGAAGATCTCACCACTGCACTCCAGCCTGAGCAACAGAGCAAGACTCCGTCTCCAAAAAAAATTGCTATTTCCCGGCCAGGCACAGTGGCTCATGCCTGTAATCCCAGCACTTTGGTAGGCCAAGGCAGGCAGATCACGAGGTCTAGAGATCAAGCCCATCCTGGCCAACATGGTGAAACCCTGTCTCTACTAAAAATACAAAAATTAGTTGGGCGTGGTGATGTGCACCTGTAGTCCTAGCTACTTGGGAGGCTGAGGCAGGAGAATTGAACGAACCAGGGAGGCGGAGATTGCAGTGAGCCTAGATCGCGCCACTGCACTCCAGCCTGGCAACAGAGACTCCGTATTTAAAAAAATAATCATCATAATTGCTATTTCCCTCACCAAATTCTTCTTTGCTGCCTTAACATAAGCTTTGCCAAGTAGAGAACAGCAACTATTGGCTAGGTTTCTTCCCAACAGTGTAATCTTTTAAGTTACTTAACCTCTCTAAATCTATCCCCTCAAATATAAAATGGATCTAATAAAAACATCCATCTCATGAAGCCACTATAAGGATTAAGTAAGCTGGTGAATATGAACCTGATTAGTACACAACTTGTACACAGTGAATATCATATATATATTTTAAAACAATGCCCAGTGAAGCACACACAAAATTATGTTCTTTACTAGCCAAAGGAAACAAAGATACTAAACTGAAAATAATGTTACAAGTGATATGCTTTTTTTTTTCCCTTTGCTTTTTTTGTTTTGAGACAGAGTCTCGTTCTGTCACCAGGCTAGAGTGCAGTGGCGCAATCTCAGCTTACTGCAAACTCTGCCTCCTGGGTTCAAGCGATTCTCCTTCCGCAGCCTCCCAAGTAGCTGGGACTACAGGTGAGCACCACCACACCCAGCTAATTTTTGTATTTTTAGTAGAGACAGGGTTTTACTATGCTGGCCAGGATGGTCTAGATCTCTTGACTTCATCATGATCCACCCACCTTGGCCTCCCAAAGTGCTAGGATTACAGGCGTGGGCCACCACACCCAGCCTTTTCTTTTTTTAAGGCAGGGTCTCTCTATTGCCCAGCCAGATTGTACAGTGGCACAATCATAGCTCAATGCAGCCTATACCTCCTGGGTTCAAGCAATCTCCCTGCCTCATTTTATTTTTTAGTAGAGATGGGGGTCTTGGTATCTTGCCCAGGCTGGTCTTGAACACCTGGGTTCAAGCTATCTGCCTACCTCGGCCTTCCAAAATGCTAGGATTACAGTTTAGCCACCCTGACTGGCCATAATATGCAATTTTGATTATACTGCTATCAATGTGATAGTTAACAAAGAAAAAAAAAGAAAGAAACTAAGCCCTACTTCTACTCTTTCTACTATTTTCAAAACAAAGCTGTATTGGCTACACAGAATCCTAATCATCAGGCATACCATCTCGGTGATCTTCCAGATCTTTCTGCTTTTCTTCTCTATCTTCAGGATCATCTCCATCATCATCATCGTCATCATCATTATATTGACCAAGGGCATTCACCAACTCCACAAAAATTTCATCATTTATAAACCCACATTCTGAAATTCATCAAATGTCAGAATCATACAGGAGAAGTAGTAATGACAAAAGTTTATGGATCCTTTTTCTACTTTGGACATAACAGGCATAGCCTAGTCACTAGCACTAAAACATTATTACTCAAATAAGGGGAGGAAAATGTAAGATTTTCAAGACTGGCCTGAGACAAAGGTAGGAAGCAGAATTATCTTTAATATCTGCTATTTTCTGTTGAATAGCCCCTCCGCAAAAGTTTCTACTATAAAACCGAATCCTCTAGGAACTGATTATGGCTTTAGCCTCCTACCATTCTTTAACTGATCACTTCAGACGCTGCTTTCTACTAGATAATGACAATGGATGATGATATTACAAATATTACCCTTTCAGACACTTTAACAGGGCCTCCAGGACATTAAAAAAAAAAACAAAACTGAACCCATGACTCTAATGATTGAATTTGAGGTACTGTAGTTCCTAGAGGAGAGTCATTTTTGAGCAGTAGGGGCTGCTAGAGCCCCAATATGCCACATAAGCAGAGCCCCAATCCTAACTAATTTAACTACTAAAGAATCTTAAAATCTACATATGCTCAATTTCTATTTAATTTACATGTTATTGCTATTATGTATAACCAACCATGTGTAATTATCAGGTGGCAAACATGATCCTCCTAGTTTTCCCGAAAACAGGGAAAACACTAAAAATTTTAGACCTGGGCCCAGGTCAGTCCCTTATAGTTCAGTGCAAAACTTAATTTTAATACTAAAATTTTTCTCAAGTTCTATACTTAATGAACAAAAGTATCCATGTTAGCCCCTTTTCCCAAGAGAAGCATATGGCTCACCTCTATCCCCATGTACTTTTCCATCATAATTTTTTATTAGTTCTTCAATGAAAGTACCATCCTGGTCTAACACTTCATCTCCCATATAAGGAATGTTATGTAAAACAGTTTCATCTTCCACCTAACAGAAGAAAAAATATTTAAAAAGCAGCTTTATTCTAAGTATCAAATGTGAAATAACTAAAATACAACCTTTTTTTCATATGAAGAGGTCTTTACCCAGTTCTCCAGATTTAAAATACTAGTCAGAGAGCAAACTCTAAAAGCTACCAAAGAATAACAGCATAGAATAAAAGCAAAGAATAAGCGTGTCCGAAAACTGCTGACAGAAAAAGAATTTAATTCAAGAAAAAATACTGTACTTAATCTGTCATCAATCATTAAAACTTACCATTATTTTACATACCTCTAAGAAAGAAAAAGATGCTCTAGATTATGAAAAGACATTATCAGTTCATTTTCCTGTTTCATTTTTTATTGAGATGAGCATCTCACCATCCTGCCCAGGCTGGTCCCAAGGTGCTGGGATTAAAGGTATCTGGCACCATAAGCCACCATGCCCAGCTATCATCAGTTTTAAGGCACACTCTTATTTCATATGTTAATACAGGGAGGGGAGTGGTCTTAATGAAAATAGTATATCAAGATCAACTGTAAAAACCCATACCAAAAAACTATCATAAGACTCCCACATTCCACTTGATGATCCAGTTATTAAGATAACCATTAATTCATAATAGTTTAAGGTGAAAAGAAAAAAAAATTAAGACATCCAATATAATAAAATTCTAGGGACATAAGAGTATTGATGGTCCATTAAAGTTTATGCCCAAAGGATATGTGCTTATGTGTAAAATAAGAACATTCTACAAAAACGTATTTCAATATTTAGATGAATGAGATTAGTATCAAAGTTGACAGTGCTAGTAAAGACGATAGATGAGTTTATATCAAGCTTTGGAAGAAAACAGAGAAGAAAGAAGAGCCAATCAAAGAAAAGTTAAGAGAATGGAGTACTTAAGATTTCAAGGTAAAGCAAGCTGACATTCATGGGAGGAAGAGAATTTTCAACGAAGAATAAAAATGACAGTAATTATAGATAAAGACTGCACAGTTCTGAAGTGCATGTTTAAAGAGACCAATTCCAAGTGAAGACAAGTCTAAGTCTTAAAGGCCTTTGAAAAAGATAGTTGCTAAAAACAGAATTTTAGAAAGACAATTCTGATAAGCAGAATGGACTGGCTGAGACTGACTGGGAGTACACAGCAGGTCTTTAAAGGGTGAAATGGTATAGGCTTGGCCCACCACTATGAACATGGCCCACAGGGAATAACATGCTGGGAAAGGCCACATACACTAGCAGCAGGCGGGAAGTGTGGACAAAAATCTCAAATAATCCCTAGGTAACAAATTTAGGACAACTGGAGAGTTCATAAAAATAACAGGACCTGGCCGGGCGCGGTGGCTCAAGCCTGTAATCCCAGCACTTTGGGAGGCCGAGGCGGGTGGATCACGAGGTCAACAGATCGAGACCATCCTGGTCAACATGGTGAAACCCTGTCTCTACTAAAAATACAAAAAAATTAGCTGGGCATGGTGGCACGTGCCCGTAATCCCAGCTACTCAGGAGGCTGAGGCAGGAGAATTGCCTGAACCCAGGAGGCGGAGGTTGCGGTGAACCGAGATCGCGCCATTGCACTCCAGCCTGGGTAACAAGAGCGAAACTCCGTCTCAAAAAAAAAAAAAATAACAGGACCTTAGACAAGGAAAAGAATAACTGGAATAAAAGGGGCATATAATTAAAATGTACATTTTAGTGTATTAATATATTCAAATTCAAGATTATGTACATACTAGAGGCCTGTTTTCATCTCATTTCACTTGCACTAATCTTTTTTTTTTTTTGAGACGGGAGTTTCATTCTTGTTGCCCAGGTTGGAGCCCAATGGCACGATCTCAGTTCACTGCCACCTCCACCTCCCAGGTTCAAGCAATTCTCCTGCCTCAGCCTCCTGAGTAGCTGGGATTACAGGCATGTGCCACCACGCCCAGCTAATTTTTTGTGTTTTTAGTAGAGACGGGGTTTCACCATGTTGACCGGGATGGTCTCGATCTCTTGACCTCGTGATCCACCCGCCTCGGCCTCCCAAAGTGCTGGGATTACAGCACTAATCCCATTTAAACTAGGAGTTGAGTTCTTTATATCTAACTCAAAATTAAGTGACACTTAGCTATTTTGTCTTCCCAATTATATCCACATCATCCTGCTCTCCAAAATGTATATCCTAGTTATAATAAAGATTATGTGCCTAATCTGCTTTAGTCAGCAAAATCAGACAGGGTTTGGTTCTGTCACCCACGCTGGGCCAGCAAAATCCATGGATGATTCACAAATTATATTTATTGATAAATTTAAATACTATATTCTAGAATTTCAGTCTGTGAAAACATGAAACTTCCCTTAAGGTCTTGCAATGTAATTCTCAGACTACATTCAAATTTACACAATCATGGAAGAGTAATTGAAGTTGATACTCTACTGTACAAAGTATAAAACTTAATAAAAATATTGAAAATATCTATTTTTTTAATCTAATAAGAACTTCCTAAAGCAGGTTCACCAAGGACTTCCATAAACATTTGATTAGCCTTCCCACTTTATATATCAATTAAGCAATAACACTATGTATTTTTTTATTTAGCAATACAAGTCAAGAACACATGCTTCAGTTTCTCCTTAGCATTTTATTACAAAAGCTACTGGGTCAGAGTTAGCTATGGAAATATGTTTAAGTTTGTGTTTTATAAGCCCTATGAATATTACATAATTTATATTATCACAATAAAATGCTACCTAAAATTATTTTAAATAGTAAGTTCTCAATTAACAAAAACTCAAAGACTGAGGTTATAGGACACTGGCTTTTTTAAGGGTGAGAACTATAACCTTCATTACCTTTTTTTTTTTTTTCCTGAGATAGGTCTGGCTGTCACCCAGGCTGGAGTGCAGTGGCACAGTATCAGCTCACTACAATCTCCACCTCCCTGAAGCCATCCTTCCACCTCAGCCTCCTAAATATCTTAGGACTACTGGCATTCACCACCACACCCAGCTAATTCTTCTTCTTCTTCTTCTTTTTTTAAGAGACAGAGTTTCACCATATTGTCCAAGCAGATCTCCAATTCGTGAACTCAAGTGATCTATCTGTCTCAGCCTCCCAAAGTGCCAGGATTATAGGCATGAGTCACAATGCCCAGCCCATCTTCTAAGTATTTTTAATCGTAGGTATGGTTACTGCTTAACACTGGACAGTATAAAGAGTAATACTGCAAAGGCCTTATAAAAACTATTATTAATCCATTTTTAAATTACTTTGTATTATGTTGGCTTTTTAAAATTTATACTGTCTTGATTGATTCACCTTAACAATAAAATTATCTGTGCTTTTTTATTTCAAATAAGTTATTATCAAACAAGCAGAAGATGTCTTATTTACATACCATAAAATTCTGCTGTAGGGGAGACCAAGAATACATTATGGGTACTGAAGCAACTGCATTCAGAGTCTTTAATGGGATGACTTGTGTTGGAAAATCCAAGTCACTGGTCACCGAACACTAAAACAGAAAAAATAAAATTGACTCTTAAGAATAGAAGGACAACCTTAAGCTGTAGCCATCATATTGTAAAGAGATGCTGCCTACCTATTTAATTTTTTTTTTAAATGTCCTTACCTAGGACAGTTATATTCATATAAACCAAATAGGATTTTTTCTCTTTTACTTAGGGTGAAAAATTATTCAAATTTTGCAAATTTTCAAAACCTCCAACCCTTCCCATACTTACCAATATCAGTAAGAATCAAAAACTGTACTGATGTGAGCTTCAGCAATCTGATTAACTGCTCCATACTTTCACTATACATTTCCTATCTCATCTTTCACGTCTCTTACATTCCAACCACATAGAATAGTAATATATACACACGAAATAAGCCACTTCAATCTTACTTAACAAGAATAAGAAAACTTGTTAGGTTAATCTTCCTTATCTTTATCTTCCTTTTTAAAAATCCAAGTGTTAACTGCTGATATTATCAGATGATATATAAATATTAAGGGTAATGGGTTTGAGTTTCAAACACAACAAAGTAAATTCAAATGTATTCTGTAAAACTGTAATCTCTGAATTAGTAATATTAGCTAATATGCCTAAGTACTTTCTATGTGCTAGGCTATTTTAAACACATTACATGTCTTATATTTAATCCTCATAACACTGTAAGATGGGTTACTGTTCTTAGCCCCCATTTTACAGGTGAGAAAACTATGGTAATGAAAGGTTAAGTGAGTTGCCCAAGATTGCACATGGTTATAGGGCTAGAATTTAAAACCCCAAAGTCTGACTCTGGAGCCCCTGCTCTTACTACTCCTTATATTGCCATGATACCATATTTTTAAAATGTGTCACTGCATGTAGTCCCTTGAAATACCATATTTCATACAATCTAAAATGATAGCTATTTCAAGGCACACCATTATCTTCTGTTTCACTAAGAAAAAAAATGTTGCCAACTAAACAAAGATATGTGTTCTTATCACAGTGATTCTAAGATGCATGTTAGTTTCAGATGTTACAATGTGAAAAATTTTGCATCTTTGATTCTCTGAAATATGGTAAAAATCTGTGCCCAAATAACCACAGCACTTTCCACCCTGTCTACGAATCCATGATTTCTTAAAGAGTACCACTGCCCAAGTGTTAAGTCCTCCAGAGCCTTCTCCAAAATATCCTAGATATACATTCATAATTCACAATCAGTGAAAACAGAGCAAAAAAGAAGTGTAATAAAATGAAACAAAAAAATCATATATATATACATATAAATATATATATACATATATATATATACACACACATACATATTAAAGGTTTAAATTTTTTATTTAAAATGTCTTAAAAATAGCAGAGGTAGGTGTGGTGAAATTCAGAATAGAAATCTGGCATATGGGCCACACCTGACCCTCAGCATTGGGTTGCATCAGGCCAGTGGGATAATCTCTTAACCATCACAGTCACTGCAGCACAAAATAATTCCTTCCTTAGTGAAAGTGAAGGTTTAAGGATACAGTAGTTAGGAAGAACTGTGACAGTGATTCATCCATTAATTTGCTTTCCAAAAAGGCAAAGATAAAGATAATAATACTAATAAGGCTCGTAACTCCAGTAAATAAGATGGTGTGAACAGTTTACTAACACTCCAGAACCTGCAATCTTTCCCCTTCCTGTTATTCAGCCTCTGATACAGTCCTTCATCCATCCATCCAATAATCCAATTTAAAAAGCAGTTAACATTTATTGAGCACGTACTATGTTGCAGGCACTGTGCTAAGTGCTTATATACATTATCTTAATTATTCCTCATTACAACCTTATGTAGTTTTAGCATCAAAACTTCACAAATGAGGACACTGAGGTTCAGAGAAGTTATATAATTTGTCTAGTCAGAAAGGAAGCAAATTACAAAACCAGGGTTAAAACCTGGATTTAAAGTCTGACTACAACACCCATGAGCTTAATCACTCACTGCACTGTAGTTCTTGCCCTTGCAGTGCTCAAGGGGTAACATAACAACTACAGCCATGCAGTATTTACTATATAAAATAGAAGCATGGCCAAGCACAGTGGCTCAAGCTTATAGTCTCACCACTTTGGCAGGCCAAGACAGGTAGATCAATTAAGCCCAGAAGTTCAAGACCAGCCTGGGCAACATGGCGAAAACCTGTCTCTACTAAAAACACAAAAAACTTAGCTGGGCAAGGTGGCACGTGCCTGTAGTCCCAGCTACTTGAGGGGCTGAGGTAAGAGGATCACTTGAGCCCAGGAGGCAAAAGCTGCAGTGAGCCGTGATCCACACCACTACATTCCAGCCTGGGTGACAGGAGACCATGGCTCAAAAGAAGTAAAAACCAAAAATGAAAAAATAAAAGAGACATATGATAATGTAATAGGAGTATCTCCTCCGATAACTTATTACTACTGCCAAGTCTTCTTTCCTTCTTTCTACTTAACTGGGTAAATTTGGGGGTGGAGGTAGTTATAATTATGGAATACAAGTATCAAATACTATCCGGTGACTTCAAGTACAAAACAATTTTCATTTCTTAAAAAGTTTCTGATTTTTTTTTTTTTACATTAAGTGGCAATAAATTAATTCTGTGGCTTCTGAAGGAAGAGGTGCCTTTAAAGCTTAAGGGAGAGTGGGCTGCCTCTCCAATTCTGACTTATTCACCTGCTTTAACTCCTAACTCCCAAAGTCACACATAAGGTTAGAGAGTGAATATTCCTTTCAACTACGAGAAGGAAGGAGCACTGGCTTTGCTTTATTTATGGCTGCTCTAGTGATACACCAAATACTCTGCAAGTCCTGAATGAAGTCAGCTGATTTTTCCCATTAACAGAAAGAACTTATCGAAGCACAGAAAATATTAAAGCACAGGCTGTAGCACTAAGTACTACTTCTAATCCCATACCTCTGTCATACCCCAGGTATCCCATCGCCTCAGTTCTGAGCCACGCAAGAGTCACTAAGACAAAGGAAATAAGCTCTCTGAGGGCAAAAGTAGCTGAGCCAAGTGTGGCTTCACCTCTGTCTTGAAACAGTACTCAGCACAGTGTCTCAAAAAAAAAAACAAAAACAAAAACAAAAAAGTAGGCACTCAAAAAATGTTTCTGGAATGAACAGACTATATTTGCTGATTTTCTCTAATGGAGACTTCGAGTTCTGTTGAAAGCTAAGAGATTACCTACTTAGAAAACTGACAGTCTATCCCCACCTCATTATATTTCTAGTATCTCTAGAAACCTATCCCATTCTTTAACTATAAACTGTAACTAATAACCATATTCCTTTCATTTATGAAATAATATTCAAATGCAAAAGCATTTGTTGGTGAAAACAAATGTGGGATTCTTATTTATTGACTTATAGAAAAATTACTCAAAAATCCCAGTTACTTACCAGCAACTTAGTTTTCTTTGAAAATGTATCATCCTTGACAGTTCACATAATCAAATCTCATGTCACTCAGAGTAGTGAAAAGAATTTTGACCTCATGGGTCTCCACATTTAACCTGATCAGAGCCATGTGTCCTGGACTCAGGAACTCACTAGGAGACCGTTAACAACAAATTAAATTCTCTAAGTCTAGTTCCAATTTGAGGATCACACAAGGAAGTTAGAGATGATTCATCATCAATGGTTTAAAAAAAAAGAAAAAAACTAGTTTCATTACCAAGGATGCTACATTTTCAGAGAAACACAGCTTACTGGTAAGTAACCAGGTTCCTCTGAGGATGGATAGACTTACATCAACCAGCTGGTACAATAGGCGACTGTGTGGCTGGACCACTGGGAGCTGGAGAGGGAAGTCAAGCCAAAAATAGTAGTTGTAGGAGTACACAACCAAACTGAGACTCTTTGCAGAAGGCTCGTTCCAAGTAAAAACTGTGTTATGGAAAATCGTAGAGGGAAGAGCAGGTGAATGGCCTGCAGGGAAGGGAAAGAAATTAACACACCCTACTATGTGCCAAGCACTGTGCTAGAGACTTTACCAAAGTTAACTTCTTTAAATTTCACAGCTACCCTGTGAGATAGGCATGACTCCCGATTTTATAGCAGGACATCCCAAGGACAACACCGATGGCTGTCCTGCCTCTGAATAATCTTTAACATGAGAAGGGCTAAGTCCAAATTCCATTTAGTAAGGAAAAATATACAATCAATTAGCCAAGCAAAAAATATTCTTGGATACTGGTTGGTCCATTTATTTCATGCCAGAGACACAGTGAACTGTTGACATTGTCTAACATCCTGTAGCCTTTCCATGTGACAACAGCGAGGAAGGTGCAGGAAGGTCGGCACTCCAGGAGAGGAAGAGTCAGAAGAAAGCATCAGTTGCCACCAAGTCTGGAGAAAAGCTGGGAGTGATTTCTGAAACTATCCTATATTCTTCAGGATTTGAGGAAAGAAAAGATAACACGCCCAAGTTTTAAATTAGCTAGCCCTTCTGGTGAAAATGACAGTGTATATAATTTAAGTTCAGGCTACTTTTACGCAAAGGAAGTACTGAAGAAAAGCTGCAATGAGATAAATAGCAAATTTGGATAAAGTTAAGAGAAGTTCAATAATAGAAGTGAATTCATAACCAGGTTTAGAAGGCAAAATAGAAGGGTGACTGAAGAAGACATACTTGAAATGATTTGCTCAAACAGAAGAGAGGCATAAATAAAAATGGAAGAAAAAAACCCTGTTAAGATATTGACACAGATGTATTTAATGAACGCAACTAATCAAGGGTGTTGGAGTTAAGGAATAAAAAAAGAGTACTTCTTATCAGACTGTAAATTATTTCAGTTTGTGTCATGAAATATTTGTTACAGACTCATTCCTGATTATGTGAAGAACCTCTACCCTACAGCACAAGGGTATTTGCTTCTGAGTTCACTTTTATCCTCTAAGTAACAGTTTCTACATCCCGAGGGGAGGGGGAGGATACATAGCATTTAATACAGAACATAGGCCATTTGGAATAATATTTCACAAGTTTAGACCCTT